ATAAGGCGTCGTGGATGTTAGACCCAATCAAATATAGAACCAGTCTAGCATCTCAGCTTCTCAAACATGGATGTGAGAAGGTGATTGAAGCATACGACACCGACTTTGACTTGTTACCACGAAGCGTGAGGCGAGACAGGAAGATGAAGGGACTGGCGATCGAGTAGTTCAGTAGTCGCATCTTGTTTATCCTTTTGGAAAATAAAAGATATCCCGGAGCCTAGTGCATATGATGTGTTCATGTGGCATTATTAGTTTTCAGTTTTTTGTTGTGATTTACCTGTGCCCAGTTTTATATTTTGCGATGTTGTGAGAACGGCTATGCCATGACGTGTTTCTTTTGGGTATGTTAAATTAATAAAAATTTGGGTTGTTCTTAGTGCATTTTTAAGCAAATATATATTTTAAACGTGACTCATGTCTCATATTGTGGGACATTGCAGCTGGTATATGTGATTGCCCAAAGGATGGTCAACAGTTTTTTCTTTTGTTTCACTTGTTTCTAGGAATCTTTCTGACTTTCTTTTCTCAGAGTTCATCACTCGTTCATCACCGATTTTGAAGTTGAAACATAAAAATGTATGTATTTATTTGATTCACGATAACTCAAAAGTCTTTTACAGTTTGCTTCAAATTATGGTTTAAGTTTTGTTTAAGGTGTCTTAGACCAAAAAATGAGAAGTTAATATTTTTAGAGTGCATTTTCAACCCTGTAATGAAATTACAGTAATGACTAACGTCGACCTCCAGTTCTTTCGATATCATATCTATAAGATTCACGTAACTGCAACCACAAGGAACAAGTAGACCAAATGTATCTGTTCCATGACTAACAAATACGTTCACTGCATCCATAATTCTCTACAAGGATACAAAAAATAGTATTGTCAAAAATTATGTACAAGTACTCTTATATTACAAAAAAAAATTCGTCGACTACAATCGGTCACATTCAAGATATAAGTAAGCATTTATATTCCATGTAAATGGATATTTACAGCACCAAATCAGTGTGTAAGATCAGCAACGTTACAGAGACATCGAAAAGTTAATTAGAAGTGTTGTGACAATTCACTAGAAAAAAAACGAACGTGCATTCGGCTCAACGGTTTGCTTTTGTGACTTGCAAAAATGTAAGTAAAAGAACTCAATTGTTAGGAAAAATGTTGCAAGTTCATTACTGATGAATTAAAGTGTTGGAACCAAAACAATGACCAGTTGCTTGTTATTCGATCTCAAATAACAATTTGGTATTCAATCTTTACAAGTGGAGAATCCGTGCTGTTTTATCGAAACATAAAATAAATAAAATCACGGTGTATATATGTTTGCTTCAGAATGTACTAGGATTAGCCCATATTTTAATTAATTTAACATACCCAGAAGAAACACATGTCATAGCATGGCCGTTCGACAACATGTGCAACAAAAATATGAAAACTAAGAACACCGATCACAGACATGAACACATCATATGGACTGGACTTTGGGATATCTTTTATTTTGCACAAGGATAAACAAGCTGCGACTATATAATTTTGGTTGCTTCATCGCAACGTTACATACTCATGGCAATCGGTCGTTCGAATAATTTGAATATATGCAGATCATCAAGGGACGGTCATACTATATCTAAAGACAGGGACGTTACATACTACAATAATATACGAACATTTCGAAATTTGACATATGAAATGAAAACTGATTACAGGTGACAGGTTCTATCCCGGTGATATGAAGATTTCTGGTGGAGGAGACGATATGGCTTCAATGGAAGAAAACCGATTACAGGAGATCAGCAAGGTTCCAATATGATGTATGTCTCTTGCTGTGTATTTACTCCACGTTCATCATCCCTA